TTGATTGGCATATTTAATCCATTCACATTAAGTGTGATTATTGTCAGGCCAGGTTTTATTTTTGCCATTTTGCCTTGTTTCTTTTTCTGTTGTTCCTGTTCTTCTAGTTTGGCATCTCCATGTGAAGGACTTCACTTAAAATTTCTTGTAGCTTTGGTCTTCTTTTCACAAATTTCTTAAATTTCTTCTTTTTATGCAAAGGATCTAATTTCTCCTTTATATTTGATGGAGAGTTTTGCTGGTTATAGGATCGTTGGCTGGCAGTTGTTTTCTTCCATCTTTCGCTATATGCCAGCCCATTGTCTTCTAGATTGCATAATTTCTGCTGAGAAATCGGAATTTAATTGTTCATAGATGATTCTTTGTTTTCTTCGCACACTGCTTTTAGTATTCTATCCTTATCTTTTTTTAATTTGGAAAAGTTGATTATGATATGTCTTGATGCTTTTCTTTTGGAACCTAGTCTATTTAATGTTCGCTGTGCTTCTTGAATGTGCATTTTCTTATTCTTCAAAACATCTGGGAAGTTTTTTTCTAGTATGTCTTCCACAATTTTCTACATGACTTCCCTATCATTTCCCTTCTCTGGAATTTCAGTCATAAGTATGTTGTTCATTTTGATGTCATCCCACATGATTATATTTTCTTCATTTTCTTTACATCTTATCTGTAATTTTTCCTCTAATATGTTTCTGGTGAAACATACTATGGTTATTATGGTTACTGTAGTTGGTGCTCCTGGCCCTGTATAGCAAGAGTGGCAAATGGGTGGTCTCCAGTCAGTGGGGCAGTGGAGTCTATAGGTGTCAGGGGCAGTGGTCTAATGCTCTAGGTGGGATTGCAGTCTAAAACTACAGCTGCTCAACCTGGTAAGCAGTGGTTCTGTAACCAGCCAGGGTGTGAATAAGCCGGGGCGTGGCTGTAGCCTTTAGCAGAAACTAGGGAAGCAGTGGCTGGAAGATACTCCTGAGACAGCTATGCCACATAGGCCTTGATGTCTTGCAGCCAGTCGAAGATAAGGTCCCCCAAGACTGGGTCTCACTAGAGGAGCAGGTCTTTTGAGAGGACTATAGTGCCTTTACGAGACAATAGAAAAAGGTAATATTGTAGGGTCTCTATGAAGTTTCCTAATTTATATTTTCATCCACTGTCCAAGGAACAAGAATAAAGGGAGAAAGTATATTATGGAGCAAGAGCCATGTGGATGGTCATATCTGACCTTCATCTACTTCACAAAGAGAAACTGTCCAAGTCAATAGCATCAATAGCACAAAACAAATTCCCATGAAGTCACACATATTCCAATGTTCTGCATGCTTCCATGCCTCTTTCTACTCAAACCAGTATCAATCTTTTTGCTTTTCTAGGTCCAAAATCAGATGCAGTAGCTCATAGCCCACACAGAACTATATTGGGGAAGTCAAAAGGTTATAATCTAAATTAATAACAGAATACAGCCAAGACAGCTCCTGAAATGTGCCCACAGGCATGTCAGGCTGTGTTCAGGACAGTGTTCCAAAGTTCTCAGTCCTGCCTATATTGTTCCTCTGCCCTCAAGGTCCCGTCTCATATCAGTTTACTGGTAGGTGTTGCTGCCATTGGTGTATCTGGGCAGGAAGGGCATCCTACGTTGTCTTGCTTTCTCTTAAATGGTTCCAGATCATCTGTCTCTGAGGATAGAGCTGTTCAATTTATTGATGGAACTAGCTAATCCTCTTGTAGATTGTTGAGATTGGCTGAAACCCTTGTGGAATGGTCAAAAGCCAATCCCCTTGTGGATAGGCTAGCATCCCTCATCTGCATATTCCCACCCATCTACACAGTACAGTCAAATAATGGCTAGAAAAGTCATATTGAAAGATAAGTTCCATAAGCCACCCTCTGGCTTGTCTAGACATTAAAATTCACAAAGGAAAAATTATCTTTCTCCATATAATATACGATTATTATCATGAAAGTATGTAATTATCAACTTCATTCCTCATGCTTTAATCTCCCCTCATTTCAGATAGTCAGTTTTTCATTTGCCCATCCCTATCAAACTAGTACTCTGAGGAAACAAATATATTCCTTTCTCTGAAGAATCTTCTTTTCTGGTCAAAACTTTTAGCATCTACACCCATAAGCAAAGTCCAGTAAAAAGCACACCATGCCACAGCCATAAACATGAACTCAAAGTATGGAATATCTTTCTGGGTTCTGGTCAACTCATCTCAAGCCATCCAAGGCTAAGCCCAAATGTACATCAGCTGCAAACTCAAGAGTCCACACTTCTTTCTGTGTCCCAGGCTGATTGGTTCTTTCATTCAGTCTTTGCCTCCACATGGAGCCAAGCCAATAAAACAAAGATCCTCATGATTCCCTGTTTATCAAAGCCAGCAACCCTTCTGCACGTATCTATATGTCTGTGTATTCTAAATCAACGATGCTGATGGAACAATCTCAACCTGTCTCTTTATTGCTGCATGTCTCTTAATTTTTTTCTAATTTAACTCTAGTGGATCCAGATGGTTACCACGGGTAAGCATACGCACCAGCTCCCTCAACTTCAAGTCTTGATAAGGGCTCCAATGGGAGTCAAACTACTTGTTCTGGTTTTAAAAGGTCAAAGGGTCTCTTTTTTCCCCCCCTCCCAAATGTACGCAAAAATCCAAGGAAGATCTATTAAAAGCCAAATTTCCTCAGAGTACTGCACAGGGCTTAATACTCCCCTAGCTAAGCCCCATGGTCTCTAATTCTATTGCTTAAAGCAAGCATTTCTTCAGGACAAATTATCTCCTTTTTAACATATCTGTTCAGCATTACCCTTAGAGCTTATTACACACTTTCAAGATTTATAATATCAAGTAACATTTATATCACACATCTTAACATTACATCCTCCAAAGTCTTAATTATTTACACAGCATATCTTAATGTTATTATATTAACAACAACAACGAAACCCCAAACTACCGTTATTCATAAAGTCAGCAAAAACTTAACACATAGACCTTTCAAGAAATTAATAATTTCCATTTCAATCTCCATTCCCAAGCCATTTTACCCACACTTATGCATATGGCATGGAGCCTGTGCCCTTGTTTCAGGCCAAAAGGTGCTTTTATTTCCATTTTAGTAGCACTAAAAGTAGCCATTTTAACCACACTTGCTAAAACACTAACTTTTTAAAAATTCCACATTTCCATGAATCTGGAGTCATGACATCAACTGTAAAAAGAGTAAGGACCATGTGGGGATGGCTATATCTGACTTTTACCAACTTCACAAAGGGAAACTGTCCCAGTCAACAGCATCAGTTACACAAAACCAATTCCCATGAGTTCAAACATGTCACCCACATTCTCATGCCTCTTTCTACTCAACCTAGTATCAATCTTATTGCTTTTCTGGGTCCAAAATCTGATGCAGTAGCTCACAGACCACGCAAAAGCATACTGAGGAAGTAAAAAAGATTATAATATGGATCAATAACAGAATACAGTCAAGACAGCTCCTAAAATATGCACATAGGCACATCAAGCTCAAGCTTTCAGGCTTGTGTTCCCAAGTTCTCAGTCCTACCAATATTGGTGTCCCTTCCTCAGTTGTCAAACCAAGGTCTCAGTCCTGCCAATATTGTTTGTCTGCCTACAAGGCCCCATCTCATATCAGGTCTTCAGTTCGCTAGTAGTTGTTGCTGCCACTGGTGTATCTGGAGCAAGAAGAGTGTCCTACATTGTCTTTTTTTTCTCTTTAATGGTGCCAGATGGCCTTTCTCTGAGGCTAGAGTTGTTAAATTTATTGGTGGAAGTAGCCAATTCCTTTGTAGATTGTTGAGACTTGCTGATTCCCTCATAGAATGGTAAAAAAAAAAAGCCATTTTTCTTGTGTATATGATAACATGTTCCCTCTGCATATTCCTGCCCATCTACATAACACAGCCAAATAATGGACAGACAAATCATATTGAAAGATAAACTCCATATGTTACTAGTAATTAGTAAGAGAAAACAATAAAGATGGCACTCAGGAATCAGTGGATTTTCAACAGGTATATAATCTGATTTGACAAAATAATCGTCTCATCTAGAAATCAGTGGACACCTCTTCCTAATATTATACAGTTTGTTCCTTCTTCTCTGTTTATTAATTCCTTGTAACTGCCTTTCCCTCATAACTCCCCCATTTAACACTGTTGACCATAAGACTCCCCCACAGCAGTATGGATTCCTCAGAGCAGAACAAACACAGTATTTTGAATGAAACATATTTGAGTTTGCATTCTAATACTGTTGCTTTCCAGCTGACTTGGCTTTTCTAAGATGCCCTTATCTTCCTTAGTAAATTTATAAAAATCACTAGTAGGAAATGAAAGGAGGCAGACATTATGGAAAACCGGGCACATAGAAAGATCTCCAAAGTGAAATAGAAATTATATCACACCTACAAAATATCTCTTTTTACACTAACCTTAAACAATATTTCACATCACAAATCAGAGGTGTGAGGAAATATAAAATCCTGCAATTTAGGGTTGAAAATAGGCAAAAGAAATTATTTTCAAAGTTTGATCTTGGCACCTATCAACTTTCATCACCATTAGCTGATAACAGACTTGTTCTTCACCCTTAATGGATAATCAGTGTCCTGTAAGCATTTTTCCTCTTCCTTTTTCACTCCTGTACATTTAAAAGGTAAGGTAATTTTGATCCTTTTTCTAAGAAATGTCAAATAAAATTTATTTAATGTCTAAAGCATTCCTTTCATACAATATAATTTTTCACTCTTAACAAAATGTTATCTTTATATATAGACTTTCATCAGAAAAGAGTTTGTCTCCGTTTGCTTTGTATAGATACAAGTAAACATACTAATAAACCCATTAAATTATAATTAGTAATGCCATATGGCTAAATTATTCTTGTACAAAATAATAGTTCTTTAAATATGCTAATAGAATATTTGCTTTTAGTTATAATAAAACATTTCAACGTCTCGAGGGGGAAACAAAGTCTTACCACAAAAGAAGTAATTTTCAAAGAAGCATCCACAATTCTTACTTTCCAGGGTTCTTCAATGTTGTCTGGCAAGGGTGTAGAAAAATAATAAGCAAAAGGAACACAAGTCAGTACTAGGTACAGAACTTTCCAAGCCATGGTATTCTTTTCCTGTCTTCTGTTTGGTGATGATTCAGTGTTACTCCATATATATTGGGCCCTAAATAATAGGACAAAGGTAGATTGCAAGTGAGCCCAACTAATTAGACGATGATAGCGACTCTTTGCTATTATTCAGATCCAAGATTAACAGTGATAGCAGTAATTGATTGAGCAACTATATACTATGTTAAATACTTCTCATATTATTTGTCATCTTAAGGATTGAGTAAGTGTAGTGAAAGGATGCAATCCTAATATACACTTTCCTAATTTTAAAACATGCAGTACCCACTTGTTCTGCTTAGATGACTGTCTCTTGGACTATGTTCAGGTTCTTCATGAGGATAGTTAAACGTTCTGAGATTCACATTCTTTGTAATATTATCCATAATTTTTCTATAGGTAAATGCTGTCACATAGTCAGTAAAATATAGGTAATAATCTTTCTGATATTCTATCCTTTAACTCAAGATCCATCTGATATCAGCAATGCTGGATCTGACATGAATTTCTTGAAATTTCCAGATTACTTAAATCCTCTGAGATGCTAGATTATATGCAGATGAATATGTGTCTGGTTTAAAAGAAGATTAATTTAACAATCTAGAATATGAAGATGACACAAGCTTTCTTGCTAAAATAAAAAAGAAACTTACAGCACTTATGATAAAGATGAAAGACAACAGCCTGGAGGCTTGAGGATATTATTTTGATACTTCAAAATAGATAAAAGAAAGCATTTCACAAGTAGAACACTAAGAACCATTAGGGTAATCTGAGAAAATATTTAATTTGTCAAAGACTTAATTTTACTTGTATTTACAATTCTTATTCATTGAAGCAATAGTCAAGAAACTAAAAGCTATATTGTACTGAGACAGTATTCAGGAAAAGATATTTCTAAACTTGTTAGAAAAACCTGAATATATCATTTAACATGAAATGATGTGCTTGATCCAAGCCATGGTGTTTTCTATTCACAACATCAATATAGATGGGGAAAAGTCTGAAATTGTCAACAACTTCATCTTACTTGGATCCACAATCAAAATCCTTGGTCCCAGCAGTCAGAAGAGCAGGAAAGGTATTGCATTGGGTAGATCTACTGTCAGAGATTTTTCAAAATTGCTGTCAGCTTGAGGACTAAGGTGCATCTGATTGAGGTCATGGTCTTTTCAGTTACTTACTCCGTGTCTGAGAGCTGGACAACGAATAACAGAAGAATCAATGCATCTGGGCTGTGGTATTGGAGAAGAGTACTGAATATTCTGTGAACTGCCGAAAGAACAAACAGACATGCCTTGGAAAAAGTAGATCCAGAGTGTTCCTTGGAAGCAAAAATTACAAAGTTTCCCCTCACATAGTCTGGTTATGTTAGGAGAGGCTATTTCTTGGAGGACAATTTTTAGAAGGTAGAGCATCATCACATTACTTGAGAGACCTTGTCTTTAGCCATCCATTGATTGCAAAAACATGTTAAATATGTTTTGTCTGGAATAAACTGATGTTTATATGAACTTGAAAAAAAGAAGAAGGTAGAGCATCAGCAAAATAAAGGAAGACATTCAACAGGATGGATCCACACAGTGACTTGCTGCAATGGGTTTGAGCATGCCAGAAATTATGAGGATGGCAGGATAAGATAGAGTTAAGATCTATTGTTATTATGGTCTCTATGAGTTGTGCTCAACTAAGTGACACCTAATAACAGCAACTTTTTTGTATAAAAAAGCTAAATAATGTATAAAGAATATGGAAGATAAATGGATGCTTTTCAATTACAGAGTTTTCAAAGAATATCAAATGAACTATAAACTGCCAGGAAACTAGCAAATGTATCTAGGAAATGTATAGTCAGAATATTAATTTTAAATAAGAATAGTGAGACTTTATTTCATATGTTTTGGGCATGTTAAGAGTGGTCAGTCCCTAAAAAAAATGATGTAATGCTTGGTAAAATAGAGAATCAGCAGAAATGCCAAAAACTCCTAGTGATATAGAACTATACAGGACCTTTAAAAGTGGGCTGAGATATATCCGTAATCATGAGAATGGCACTGAATTGGACAGTGTTCAGTTCTGTTACATTTAAAGTTGTTGTCAGTGAGAACTGGCTAGAGAACACCTGGCAAAAACAATGTGATATACAATTCACAGTATAATTGGTGAAGTATAAATCATTAGCAAACTTTTAAAGATAATTTTAAATTGCTTAGAGTGGCAACAGATAAGCCATGACATCTACTTATCTTGCTCTTATAAATTATGTTAATTAATTAATAAATAAATGCTATGTAATACGTAAAAACATAGAGACCTAGTGACGAAAAACTGCACTGCAATCCTGAAGGGAAGCAATTGGAGGCCACCAGCTGCTCCACGGGAGGAGAGGCAATCTCCTCCTGTGCGATTAACTGCCTCTGAAAACCCTCCAGAGGGTCAGCTATGGGTCTGTTCTGACACTACGGTACAAAACAACAACAATATTGGTACAATATTGGTACATGGTCGACTGAATTTTAGGTAAGAGAGGAAACTGATAATCCTCTCCAAATCCTAGAATTAATTCTGTTCTTGTTATTGTTATTAGATGCCATCAAGTCAACTATGACTCAGGGCTACCTATGAACAACAGATTTGAACCTTGCACAATCCTTCACCATACTCTCAAGGTCCACCAGGCTCAAGCTCATTGCTGTAGCCTATGTTACTAAGAGTTTTAGTATTGTTGTTGTTGTCATGTGCCATCAAGTTGTTTGTGACTCATAGCGACCCCATGTACAAGAGCTCTAAACTTCGTTCTGTTCCATGCCAAACTAGCCATCTCAAACGCACTCTTCCCCACCACTCCTGTCCATCTCATCGAAGGTCTTCCTCTCCTGTGCCGCCCATCCACTCTGCCGAACATGATGTCCCTCCCCAAGGACCAGTCCCTCCTTGCAACATACCCAAAGTATGTCAGACGAAGCTTCAGAATCCTTGACTCCAAGGAGGATTCTGGCTTCACCTTCTCCATGACAAACATGTTTGTTCTCCTAGCAGTTCATGGTATATTCAACACTCTTCTCCAGCACCACAGCTCAAAGGCATCAATTCTCTTTCTATCATCCCTATTCACTTTCCAACTCTCTGATGCATAGCACATAATTGCTAAGACTATAGCCCGGATCAGGTGCACCTTAGTCTCCAGCCTAGTATCATTGCTCTTCAGGACTCTTGAGAGGTCTCTCACAGCTGACTTTCCCAATGCAATTTGTCTTGATTTCCTGGCTGCTGGTACCAAGAGTGTTGACTGTGAGCCAAGAAAACTAAAACTGTTAACTATCTCAATCTCTTCACCATCCATACTGATGCTGCCAACTGGCCCAGTGGTGAGAATCTTTGTTTTCTTGTTATTGAGCTTCAATCCATATAGGAGGCTGCAATCCTTGACCTTCTGTAGCAAGCACTTCAGGTCCTCCTCAGTTTCAACAAGCAGGGCTGTGTCATCTGCATAACGCAGGTTGTTGATGACTCTTCCACCAATCCTGATGCCACATTCCTCCTTATATACCCCAGCGTCTCAGATGATCTGTTCTGCATACGGATTGAAAAGGTATGGAGACAGAATACATCCCTGACAGACCCCCCCCCTTCCTGATTTTGAACCATGAAGTGTCTCCTTGCTCTGTTCTGACGACTGCCTCTTGGTCCAAGTATAGGTTTTGCATTAGCACAATCAAATGTTCTGGGATTCCCATTCTTCTCAGAGTC